ATTTAGTTCGTAATCATCAGTTCCAACAGTTACCAATCGAAAGTTGTTTCAAAAATCAATTAAAGTTTATTATATTAAAAATTTTATTTTTTAGTTGACAATCAACTCCGAATCAGGATTATTTTGCTATTTGTTGTAACATGATCGGTAAGTTAATAAAAAAACTAAATTGTAAAAAAAGCAAAATATCGGTACAAAAAATTTTATACCCGAAATATTTTTATCTCAAACACATTGTGTATAACTAATTCATGCCACTACGGTAATAATTTGGTATGCACGTATTACCCATTAAATACTTGTTTTCAAAGAAAAGACTGAATTTTGGGAAGCATGAAAACATTTTCAACGCACTAGAATCACCTCCACTCGTAAAAATTTCTATTAAAGTCATTATTATAATATTTAAGTACACTCATACGCACAAATGATTAAAAAAAGAAATAGTAATATTTTCCGTAGCATCACGAGCTCATGGCACGAATGAGCTTTTATAGAGAAAGTAGTAGGAACTTTCGCCCCACTTTCGTCTTTTACGGTTGATGTGTAAAAAGTTTATCATCTATTGGCGTTGAAATACGGTGTACAAGTAGTGTACACCCTTTCTCACAATTTATCGTTTGAAATCAATGAAAAATAATATTTTAATCGTCAATAAATTAAACTAAATCGATAGTAATAAAAAAAATTAATCAAAATTCGATCACTTTGAACAACTATTCCTAGATAAAAAAAAAAAAAAAATTCATGTATTGTAAAAATGTCACCGTTAAACTTATATATAGCCAGCCTTTCATTGAAAATACGAAAAAAAAAAGAAAAAAAAAAAAAGCCAACGGAGTTAAGCATCAATTGTGAGCACCAATTCTTCTCTCGCTGGAGAGCGGTAGCGGCACACTTATCGTGCCTTCACGCTCGTAACTTTCTGCGCGCGTGTATAGCTGTTGCAGGTATAAGGAGGTACTATACCTACAATAAGTCAACCTCTCGCTACCACTGCGTATAGGCACGCGTTTTGCGCCATCATTCCCTAGTATGTATATGTATAGTACAATGGTAAGTAGCAGCGAATTTTCATAAAACGACATACGTACGCAGAACGAAGTAAAAAGGGGGCGGATATGGAGGAATCGAGGGAATGCGCAAAAAAAAAAGACCAAGTACTTACTATCCTTGCGTTACGCTTGGAGCCTCATCAGCCAGAGCAGTGAATCCATTTACGAACCGACAATTTGGCTAAACACTGTACCTGATGGGGTAGGGGGCTAATAGCGCGTAAGTCTGAGCGTAACGGGTGCACTATGAAGGATTGTTACGCGTAGTCACGTGACATTTTTCTGTAAAAGGGACGGGATGGGGAATTTTTGAAATTTCCCCTACCGCGAATCGCGTATCTTTCATAGCTCGTTTTCTCGGAACTTTGTAGGTAAAAGGTATACTTATCATAGACAGTACGTATAGATGTGCTCCCTGGGAGATAAATTTACGTTACGCTATTTTTTTTTTCGTGTGGATTAACCTCGATTTCGTCTTTGTGTTAGTATATTCATTACGGTAATGGCGTGTCACTGCGACAGTATATCTTCTCTTGCGCTGTTCTCGTAAGGGGGATTTCTACAATATTTTATAACTCCCCGTCAAGACCTTCAATTATGAATTTTTTTTAAGGCGTGATTCACATATTTCATTGCTTTCGATAAAAGTGTGAAAGTTTGCCTATTTTTTTATTAGCTCTGGGTTGAAAATTTCACCACCAATTGCTAGTTTTATTTTTTACTATTAAAAAATACTTTTGAGTGTGTATTACAAGTGTCATATAAGTATGAAAATTATGTCTCGAAAATACATTTTTTAATACAAGTGCCAATTAAGAATACTATCATTAAGGAGAATGGAAAAGTTTTTAAGCAAAGCATTTTTTGTATAATTAATTTTTTAATTACAAATAATGGTAGTTTTATTAAAAGGGTAATTTATATAATACGCTAGTTTTTAAGCGATGATCAAAAATAATCAACGGTCAATTATAAATAGTACATTGTATGTAAATAATAACTTCCTTATTTTATTTTATTCTATTTTATTCTTTGATGTTAAATATTTTTGTCTGTACATTCAAACTGATATTGTAATGTAATTTTATCACTTAATTTTTTTGTGCAATAGACGATTCTTGTGTGATAATACTATACTTGTTTTTTTTTTTTTTCAACTTTTTTTATACAAATATTTATGGTAATAAGGAATTAAACGTACGATGATATATTAAAATGATCTGATTTTGCCAATAAAATTTAATAAAATATTTTCCACTAATGCTATATCTTAAATAAACCAAAGTTTTAGTTATAAAACTAAATACCAAAAGTCTTGACATTTTTCGACCAAAGTATGACAGTTGAAATTTTTTTTAAATCGATGGGTAATAAATCTACATACGGAATCATCACCTCAACCTTTTTTGTTTCACACCTCCTGGACGATAAAGATATTCCGATCTTAAATGCCAACTTAAGGGAGAGACGATAAATTATTCCAGTTTGCACGACCGAAAACATTTTTAATAGTTGCGTATATGTGTACATATACAAAGGGAACACGCCGAGCTGCAGCCACGGCGGAGGTAATGAACTGGTGGTGGTTAGGGTAGCTACGGATAGGCTCTCAAATTGCGATGAAACCGGGCACCCAAACGTCGACTGGTTTCGGGTGTCCAGCACTCGTAAGACCACCGATGACGACGCGACGTCCTTCTTTCTCTGTTTTTTTTTTTTTTTTTTCTCCCCAAATTTCCTCTTTTCGCTCGACGTCTTTATTTATCATTCGTTGGTCACCGTAGTATAATTTATAGATGAATTCGCGTGTATATTTGTAGAAAAAAATTGCTTGTATGAAACGTAGGTGTTTGCACTTCCGGCTTTTGTTGTTATACCCTTGGTTTTTCGACTGCTACCGGGATTCATGCCTGATTAAGTGCTCAATTCGTATTAAAAGCTGAAAAGTGCGAAATCCGGAACCAAGACCTTACCGCGACTTTCATAATATCGTCCTCTCAAGCCTAACGTTATACTGATACTTTTTTTTGTTTATCAAAGACTCGCCATGCTACATTGGGTCTTAGGTGTTTTTTATTTTAAAAATTTACTCAATTTAATTTTTATGCTTAAAAATAGTTTACTAGCTCTTTTAAAACGTTTGGCAATGTAGCTAGATAATAATCGATACATATAAGAGTACCTCGCCCGTCTCTGCTCAATTTGTGATGAAAACAAAGAGTCTTTTACAGTGTGAAATCTATTCCATGTAAATAATAAAATAATATTCTGTTTATTATTAAAAAAGAAAATAGATTTTTGAAAATTCTTCAAACACTTATCGTTTCAAGTTAAAGTTGGATTTTTTGTTAAAAAAACCTTTGGCTATTGATTGAAAGAGTACTTTCTGTTTGTTTTTTTTTTAAATCTACCGATATAAAATTTTAGTTATACAGTGATGGTTAAACGTCGACGGGATGCTCAAACCAAGCACGAGCATATTAACAAGCAAATAAAAAAGAAGAAGCACATCCAATCGCCACCCTCTAAAATACACGTATCACAAGCCCGCGCATTCGAAAGTAATTAGACCCCGCACAAGATCATCATCCGACAAGGAGCCCATTATTGTATTGCCGGCATCGCGCGTGATTCAGCTAAATCCCGAGAGTCCTGCCAAAACTCGGTGGCTTGGCTTAAGGCCTATAGAAAACAAAAAAACAAAAAAAACCTACCAGGTCGCCGGCGTCGTCGCCACGGCTGTCGGCCGATTTTCCGTATATGTTGCTGCGTTGCGCCGAGTTTTCCCGTTCTGTGGCTCTTCTCCCCCAGAAAGCGGCTCGACATGAAACGACCAAAGCTTAACGACGGCCGAGAGAGCTACTTTTTTTTTCCCTTCTACCATCCATCCCTCTTTCTCTCTGCCCCTCTTCTCGATTGCCCCATTCTAAAGTCGTTTGGCGCTCCACGCTTTGTGTGCCACAAAGCGGGCGCATCTTGTTATGATCTGCTTTTGCGTCTTTTCTCTTTTCTCTTTTTTTTTTTTTTTTTTTTTTTTTTGTTTTTTTTTAATCACCTAGAGACTTTGGCGTGTCGTCGGAAAATTAATGTGTTTTTGTTGATTTTCAACAGCTGAATTGGTCCATAGGTTTTTGTGAATTACTTTTTCAACAATTTTTTTGATTTTGCAAATTCTTCCGTTGCGTTTCAAAGGACATGATATTATCCAAAAATTATTGAATTTAATTTAGATGTCAACTAAATGGCCTCAGGAACATGGAAAGTTGGAAAGTACGTGTGAGAGACGGTATTAAATTTTAATAGTTAAATTTTTTTTATTTTTTTTTTTATTTCAACAATATTAACATTTTCATTGATGTACACATGTAAAAAATAAAAAAAAAAAAGTATGAGTTTATATATATATATACAATCTTCAGTCTCGTACAAAATCTCTCGTTGAGAACCATAAATATCACTAAACCTAAAACTTACATCGTTCGCTGTAAGAAAAAAAAAATAATAATAATAATAACATAATTCACGTGCCATCGAAATCGTGCCTGTATCGCTCGACGTAAGCAAACTTTTTCATTTTTCCATGTATTTACAATACTTTTGCCGCACATTCAAAGAGATTCAATAAAATTCGTATACTCGTGACAGTACAAAAATACACACGCACAAATCTTCGCAACGTATGACTCCGCGCAGCGAAACATCAAAAATACTCTTAAAAAAAAATAATAATAATCTAACTGCTTAAACATGATTGGCTCGAATTGAGTGATTCCATGGTTCATCATAAATGATTCTTGCGTTAAATATCTAAGTATCGATTTTTATTTTTTTCTAATTAATAGCGTCACAGTTTAAGGAGGATCGTTAATCTTATAACTTGTAGTGCACNAAAAAAAAAAAAAAAAAAAAAAAAAAAAAACCAGCAACAACAATGATCGCGCACCACTATTGCAACAGATCGTAGAGCGCCGTGATGTAAGACTGTGCCATCTGTAGAGTCTCGTACTTGGAGAGTTGCCTGTCGTTGCCCAACGACGGCAAGTACGCCCTCAGCTTGTCGAAGGCCTTGTTCAAGTTTTGCATCCTGCGCCTCTCCCGGGCGTTCGCGGCCAACCTCCGCTTCCTCACGACAACCGAACTGACCGCCTTGCCGGTCCTCCTGCCGCCCTTGTCGCTCGACTCTGCACCTTGTTGCTGCTCCGACTCGCTCGCACCCTCGTCCTCCTCGCTCTCCTCCGAGGGGCCAGCCTTTGGCGGAACTGTCTCCTCCTGACGGTGGGGCGACTGGTGCTGCTCAACGAGCTGTTGGGGCGCGTACTGGGGGTAGAGCGGGGGCGGGGCGTACCGGTACTGGCAGGACTCGGACTCGGAGCTGAGCGACGTGCCGGCCGGGCTTAGGGAGCGCAGCGACGCGGCCGGGCTCGGCGTGTGCCAACCGTCGCTGTCGTATATGTTGTTGCACTGCTGCTGGAACTGGGGCACCGGGAGGCTGCTCATGGGCGGCAGGTCGAAGGTCTTCTTCGGGGGGCAGATCGGGTAGCTGCTCGGCAGCTCGAAGTACGTCTGCTCTTCTTCCTCCACCTGCAGACCCGGGAACATGTAATTGTAGCGGAACATCTCCTGGAGGTGCTCCATGCTACCACTGACGCGACAACTGGGACACTGTTGTTTTTTTTTGTTTTTTTTTTCGGGGCGCGAACTGTGACCGTACCGGAGGGAGGAGCACTGCGAGGAGCTGCCGAGGGATAGATCGGGATGCGCTGCGTCGGAGATACGGACGGGTTCTGAGTCCAGGGGCGCCGGAGCGGTTGGATTTATGCTCTCGGCTCGGGGGGAGGGCCACCCTTCGGAGAGCCCGCACGTGCCCTCCGACCAATCGGGGAGCGCGGCTACCCCCACCGGCAGCCGCGTGTGCCCGGCCCCCTTTTCTCCATCTCCTTCTTCCTTGGTATACGTATACACTTACCCTTTTTACCTCCCGAGCGAGGTAGAGGGCAACAGGTGTCCCGAACGGCGCCTGTACCTACGCGCGCGTGCGTGTGCGGTTTTTCGAGCGGTATAGTGGTGGGAGTTGGGGGGTTGTTCGACTGCGTCCAAGGGAGAGAGAGAGAACGAAAGGGCAAAGGTGAAAGGAGGGAGAGAATTAAACGGGCATGGGATCGGTGGATTCGATAGATCGGCGCTCGTGGCTTTTATTTTACAATGAGGGCGTTTTTTCGAGTTTTTCCGGGCACATGATGCGTAGGTACAGGTGGCAATCTCGCGTACGCCAATTATCAACGAAATCAATAAATATATACGCAACAATACGAGATACACTTTTTTTTTTATGTGAGATTACTGAAATGATAATCGATCCTTAAAGTTAAGCCACCCGCGTAAAAATTTTTACGTTTGGCCAAGCTTGGGCAATGAGAAAATCCCAAACTTGGATTTTCGTTGGAATATTTTACTCAATATTTTTCGTAAGTCATATAATGCAGACCAACTAAAATCCTGACGCAGCAAATTAATTTTTTAGACGTTTGGAAGAACATTTGCTAAACTTGAGTAAAATATTCCAACGAAAATCCAAGTTTGGGATTTTCTCATAGCCCAAGCTTGGCCAAAGTTTGGCCAAACGTTGACCACATGAACTTTGGCGAAAGTTTGGCCAAACGTAAAAATTTTTACGCGGGCAGTATTATATACTTAACACAATGCGAACCGAGGGGCTGTGTTCTTTTCTTATCGCAAAAGTCTCGAAAAGTTGAGCCATTTAAAATCACACGAAGACTTTTATACTGTTTTTTCATGTTTTTTCGAGGTTTCATTAAACATTTTTATTTTACCGATTTTATTGTTTCCTGTAACTGTACAAATGCACCAAAATTGCGAATATTAGAAACTATCGTGATGTTAAGTCTTTGAATGCGGTAAAAATACCTACGAGCCTATACCACACTAGCGAAGCGTGCCGATAAAAACTTGCAGTAGCAAAGTTAAATGGATACAGTTCGTAATAGCTCGGAGTAAGTGTTTACTTGGTACAATCGGGCTTCACATGCAATGTATATACATCTCGGCATGAAACTCAAAGTGTGATCACGAATTTGCAGCTCGTGTCGGAATAGAAAATTAGAAAGAGAGAGAGAGAGAGAGAGAGAGAGTTGATTGTTTGTCCTAATAGCCGGTTACCGAAAGGGCTAATAATTTTCGTCAAGCTCGGCAACGATTCTTCATTCATTCCCCGGGTAACCCCATTAAGTCCATTGTCCGGCAAAAACGAGCCTCCAAACCTTGTTGTGGCTCATTTTTTCCACGGGACAACGAGATCAAAATGTTACAGGGTGAGCGCCTCGGCTTTTACGCTGTGTGCGACTATATCGACAATAGTGTCGGAAAAAAAAAAAAAAAGAAAGGGGCACGCGATCGCGTTGGGCATTGTGGTTTTTCTGACAGTCCACTTAGTAGTCGGTGCAAAATCTAAATTGGTGCATTACCGGCGTACCATTTACGGGGAAAGGAGGGAAAAACTACTCTGGTCGGCCTTCCATTGTGTGGTTTTTGCCTTTGCGGACACCGAAACCCTTTGAAATGTATATTAATATGCACGGCCCAACGTCACTTTACTCGAACGATCTGGAGGACTTTTTTTTTCTTTGTAATTACGTGCTTTTGACAAAAGTAAAAGTGTATTTTTTTTTTTTTTTTTTTTTTTTTTAAGCTTTTTAAACTATTTAATCTTATTTGATTTTTAATTAATGTGTGATATGATTAGGAAGAAGGTGAGCTTTCAGTTTTTACTCGAATACATTGAAAACCGAGTGAAAACGACTTATAGTCTATTTATTTATTATCCGCTGTTACAAACATTTTTAGATATGTATATTATTTTAACGATGACTGAAACTCGAAAAAAATACGTTTGTATATAAAACATGTTCGATTAAATGAAAATTTTATTCTCAAGCGGTGATAGATATCCAACAACAAAAAACCTAATAGCGAGAAACGGCTTAAAAATATATTTATTTACACCCGCGTAAACACACAACATTACTGTCGTTTTTGTTTTTAATTTTATTTTTTACCGTGTTCTCTGGTAATTTACAAAACTTAATACAATTATTTAATAAACTATCACCAGTATACCAAAATATATACAACTATCATCTATACAAAAATAAAAAATATACAAAAAACGCATTTAAAATACGAGTGCAAACGATGTTTGCTTTTGAGAAATTTTCACCCACATCTTTCTCAACGCGTATCACATTTGCCGTGCTTATGTTCTCTCGTTCACAAGAATCAATATAGTTATTATAATAATTCGATCGATTTACGCTAATCAATCGGTGGTGTTTACAAGTGCCGATTTCGCGCCTCGAAAATAAACCCGTTGAAACAAACACTCTTAAAAACAGTAATTTACCAAATAATTGTGCGCATGAAACGTTACATCCCTTCAAAAAGGTACACCAAAAAAAAAAGGAAACTGTATACCCATGCACGTACTCCCCCAAAAAACGAGTGCAACATCGTTGGTTTTAATGGCACGTCGAAGACGCCAACAATGCGCCATATACAACAGACCCAGACGGGAGGTGCGAAAAACGACGCCACGAAATTCGACGTGATTTTTCGGGCAACACGATAACGACGTGAGCAATTTTTATACAGCAATTACGCGAGCCATCCGTTCATTTATACGCTCCCGATCGCCGAGGCATCTTCTTTTTTTTATTACGCCTTTTATTTTACGTTTGGGCGCACTTTTTTACACGGACGACTGCGTTCGAGGCAGGCACACTCGAATCGCGTGTCTATACGCGAAAGTGTTTGGCTGCGTGTAATATTGATACTCGCAATAAACGTCGAGTGCACATTTTGACAAACCTGTTTAGGTAACTGGTGAAGTTGAACAATCATTAAATTGTTTAGTATCAAGAAAATTTTAATTGCACAGCTACTATGTAACTAATTATCGTTTGAATGGATATTAATCATACGGATACTTTTATAACTTTTTAAAAATTTAATTTTTGTTGAAAATGCAATGCATTACCAACTTGTACCAAAAAAAAAAAAAACCAATTTTGGAAAAAAAAGTCAAAGTACTTGAATAAGCATTTAAATATTCATTGAAAATACTTAACACTAAAATTTAATATACAAAACGGACAACACTAATCTGTCAAAGAAAAAAAAAATTATTTTTTAATATTGTACTGTGAATAAAAAGTTTTAAAAAAATGCATTTTATTCAAAAAACTAATTTTTTTTGCGTTTAGAAATTCATAAAAATAAATATCAAGTGTAATAATTGTTTACATCGATGAGCAACCATTAATAGAAAAATTACCAAAAGTTGATTACACAATGAAGGAGGATTAAAAAATGTAAACCTACAGCTTTTCTATTCCATCCAAAATCCATTTATAATGTCATTCCGTCACGTCACCAAAACCACTAACGCTTATATTCGAAATTGGGCATGTCATCAAATTTTGAGAGAAAAAAAAAAAAAAAAACAGTGCATGACCGCGCAAAAATACCTCGAGAGCAGAGAGACCGCGGGTCCAGTTACCCCACGTCTTTACTCGCTCAATTAGCGAAAACAGGGTAAGGATGAAATTTGGTGCTCCGAGCGGGGACTCGCTACGGTGGTCCGTACAGAGAGGCAACCCGATCTCGGACATTCCTCTTTTCGCCACCGATGCTGAGGTGCACGCACCAGTGCTATACGAGGCTCGGATAGCACGTGTTCGCAAGCCCGTGTAAGCTGCCCCTACTTCTGTGGCGTTTGCTCACTTCTCTTTCTCTTGTTTTTTTTTATTTTTTTTTGTCTGCCTAAGTAGCCACCACCGGAGACGAAAGACGTGATAATCCTCTCGTTTTTACATGTATATCTGTGCCACCCTCGCGACGCGCGCGAACGCGCCTCTTTCTCTCCCTTCATCCTCCCTAATTCTCTCTTGGCCGAGCTCTCGACCCTTTCCCCCCAAACGCTTCCGTGGCACAAGAGGAAGTTTCTCTCTGTGCCTCTGTTGGGTTTTTACGAGGGACCGTTATGCGCGTCGCGTGGGGCTTATCTTCGGCTTGACCCATTAGGGGAAAAAGGCTTGGGGACGTATCTTGATTCCTACGTATCTTGACAGACTTTTTTTTTTCTCACAAAGGAAGTGTCTAATGGCTCACTCTTTTTAACGCCCTTCGAGATCTCTATTGACAGTATTGATGCGGGATTTTTTGTTTTTTGTTTTTTTTCAACCAAAGGGCATTTTATTTTTTAAAAAATTACTATTTTTATAGTATAATTTTAATAAACGATGATATACTTAATAGGTCGTTTATATTAATATTTTGTCGATCCGTGAATTAATGACGGCGATGACACGCAACTGCTTATTTTGGCAGAGCCGGGCGATGTAATCCCCGCCCCCTTCCTAAAAAAATCGATACTGGACCCCGTAGCTATACGTGCAACGTCTGCAACCGTATACGGAGTCTCTTTTCTTCCCACGACGAGATTCCTCTCGGTCGCCAGGAAGGATACAATGGCAGGTCCAGTTTGGAGACTCGGGACCTTTTTGAAACAAACTTTACTGTATGAAGAAATCGCGAGTTATCTTGTAGAAAAGAAGAAAAAT